CACCAACTGGTAAGACATATAAAGGAACAGCTAAAGAACAGTTCGAGGAACCATGTGGACATAACACGGGTAAAGTGGCTGTAAATGTGATTTCCCATTCCTTGTGGTCTTCCTGGATGACCAGGTAATTAGGCTCAACCTGTGTCAACATTAAAGTTGTATAAGATTAATATCAATTCCATATTCTACTCAGAAATACTTTAATTCGTATCAAATCACAAATGCTATGTTGGCCGGTTTTTATCCCTTCGCCACAACATCTTAGTATTTAGCAGGGTCTTGTGTAAGTATGCGACCTTAAATGGCCGCAAAGTAGTATTTTCGCTCCAGTCAATCAAAACTCTCAATTTCACCAAACTGCTTTCGAGGGTGCATCCTCAACAACCAGCAAAAAACATAAATTCACAATTAATCATTCGGTTTCCAGATACAAAAGTTTGAAGGGTTTTGCAAGAATTAATCCCGAGGGGTGGGCATATTTGTTTTAGTAGTCGAATGTTACATAAAATCATCGAATCTCTGGATTTGTCCCTCCTACCTTAACTCCGACGTAGAATTCCCCACTGGACATTCCAGGACTAATAAACCCTGGTGTTATAGTGTAGAATGAGCTCACTTCACATGTCACCTGAAATAGATAAAGTAAATTTCTTATTCCAATCTCAGCTCGTTTTGACCTTGATTGTGGTAGAAGGAGGGAGGAGGAAAATCAAAAGAAGTGTCTTTCTAGGGATGGAGAATAACAAGATGATATCATGCCTTACCGTGTCTCCCAAGCTTAAATCAACTGTATCAAAATCAAGAACTGCCTTATTTAAATTTGTCCTTTGACGAAATAACACCAATCGTCCTGATCTTCCTGCTACGAAGCGCACGACTTTGAACCATGTAACTATAAATTGGACTTGAAAATGCGCCGTGTCTTCGACCTCAAACGAGCAAACGAGCTGTACTGAAGACCCAACCTTGTTTTTATCCAATGGAAGAGCAGGATTTATCACTGGCAAGACTGTTAGTTTTGGATATCGACCACGTACTACAATGAAGTGATTCATAGGTTATTAGTACCCAGACCCTTTGCGTAGCTATCCGCGAAGGTGCAGTTTGAACCCGCAAACTTTTCTCAGGATGCCGTTGATCTGCATTGAGCTAATATTCAGTCACTTACCTTTGCACCTTGGTACGTAGCCGATTTTAGATGGACCACATGGAACACGTAAACCTGTGGTAATTGAAGAAGAACAATTTAATCTCTAGCTAAAAACAAATGGGGACGTTCCTMGGGTTTGGATGAGGTCTCACGCCACAAAAATAGTTACAAAGTATGACAGGTAATATAAGGAAGAAGTATTGAGATTGCAATGTTTAAGGCGGCAAAATACGAGATTGAAACTTGGCACGCAGCAAAATCAACCAATCAGCATGCGAGATTTCTTCAACTTGCAACAGAGGATTTTGTTGCGTGCCAAGTTGATCACGCGCGATGAAAACGAGATTGATCGAGCTTGAACAGAAAAAATGTTGCGCACCAAGTTGATGGTTTTTGTATCTCGTATTTAACCGCCTAAATTTAGAAGCTAGCGAAATGTGGCGCGCACTCACTAGGTGGATCCACCACAGAAAAAATACATACGAAAGCTATCTTCTTATATCTCTTTTCTGGTATTCACCCAGCACAACTTATGGCAAGACTCATAAAAGCAAACACTCTTACGGATTATTGAATACCTGTTGAACAATAACTAACGTGACATTCTTTTGTGCCTGTCAACTGATAGACAAGAAAGTCACCGCAATGAGTGACATTAACAGGAATGTCCCATAAACAACAAATACGCTTTTTCTGCTCTGTCGTCCATGTCACGCACACCGAGCCAACTTTATCTTCACCGAAAGATGGTCTACTCTCTGGACGCAACCACATCTGATGCTGCGTGCCGCATTTGTCAGCTGAAGGGCATTCGGTTGGAAGCTCTGCTGGTAAGCCAGACATTTCAAGTTTGTACCAGTCCTTTGCCAGTTTGTTGTCACACAAGGGATTACGTGGATCAAAGGTACTGGCGATGCTTCGTCTAGGGTTGTCGAGAATTTTGTACCCTGATGGTTTACATTGAGGCTTGTCTAAATCATAATAAGAAAGAACAATTATTTGAGACCCTGAGTGGTGGTCCAAACAGGTTTTGAACCCTGTCCTCCAGCACTGCAGACCAGCAACTATGCTAACTAATGAGCGGTAATAACGGTAATTACGATCCATTATCGATTACGACTATCACTATTTTACGACTGGCCATCGATTATTAACTTTCTAGTTTCTGAATCATAAAGACTGCGCACGTGATTTTTTTTTACTTTTTTTCGTGTACTCCCAGCATCCCCGCGTGCTTTATTTCACCGCTAACGCACGGCAATCCATCCTTTATATTACTTAAACATCATGCATATATTGAAATATTTGCGATTAACTATCGATCATCAGTTCTTGGCTATCACATTAACTATCTCTTGCGTGCTATCAATTACTGATGTAAAACGCGATGCCCTATAATTGAAATGATTGACCTTGCAGGCGTGTTACGCGTTTAAAAGTAYTCTTTTTATGGAAGCCGTCAATGCGTGCGATCCTTTGATAATCACGTTACGTTGCAGACTATGAAGAATGTAAATTCACTTTAGTAAATATATATCATTGTTCAAMACTCCGCCGGAAATTAAGATGGTAATAATTAATTTATATTGATAATCAATAACTCATTAAACTGACCACAATATGCAATCGATACTGTACAATCCTCTGGTTATGTCTCGATTATGTCATGTGGATTCAATTATGTTCATGTATTTTTTTTACCGGTTTGCAACCATTCCAGTCTTTTATTCATTAATTTCTTCAATCAGCAGCCATTCTTTTCTTTCGTTGCTTATGTGTTCTTTCATTTTTTTCATTCATTTTGTTTTCTAGTTGTACTGCGTCCCTTTTCASTTAGACTCTCAAGTTTGTTTTATTCATTTGTTTATACATCCATTCATCTTTCATTTGCACCTATTTTCATTCAAATTTCATTTTCATCTTCATTCACTTATTCACTTTCTTTCGTTGTTCATTTGTCATCAATGATAAGCCTRTCTCTACTTCAGCCTTTTCAGTTGTTTGTATTTKGTCTGGTCATTTAGTTATCGCTTTTGTATTGACTTTTTAGCAGTAATTTGTAAATAAACAATGAACATGCGAGGTCAAATACTTTTAACAAAACTGAGAAGTCCTTGATTCTGATATTGAGAGCTGTACAAATCCCATAGTAAATCCTGATCTTATTATTCCAGCTTATACAGATAAAGCGTGCAGAGAATGTAGCCCTACCTCGAACTGCCATCAGTTTTCTCAACCAACGTGCCATACCACCGCCGACCTTCGCATACACAGCCTCTTTCCTATCAAGAGCACAGCTACGTCCCCATGAAAAAACACCAACCAGYTCAGAAGGTTGTCCATTAGTGTGTCGAGCAACTAAAGGACTCCCGCCATCAACACTACATGCAAGCCGTGCAGTGCATATCATGTTAGACGTCACGACTCCACTGTAGTGACTTGTGTCGTTACAAATATCCGACAAGATTAAGGTAACATTGTCTGAATGTAGCACAGAGAACGGTGTTTTCTTACTAGACTTATAGCCCCAACCTGTAACCATAAGTTGTTCAGCGAAGTCGTTCGTTTCTGGAAGAATAAGCWTASGTGAATSYTCGGTKKTTGCAGAAGACCATATTGRCTCTCGTACAAGATAGAGTAACGCTATGTCACCGTCCAAGTTATTTTCATTGAAACCAGGGTATATAAACACTTCAAGGCAGGGGATCATATCTTCTCCAGGAGTTAACACATCAATATGGTGATTACCAACGCGAACAAGCAACGGGATTTGAAGTCTAGTGAATCCATCACTGCTTCGTATCTTTGTAACACGAAGGCTGTTTTGTATGTCTTGAGTGGCCTGAGAGAAGCAAGACGCCGCCGTGATGACCCATCGTTTGTAAACTAAAGCACCACTGCAACGAAGCGAAGGAAKGAATACATGCCATGGCGCTTCGTTCTGCTTCACAGCTACACTTTCGTGATTCAAGTATCGCTTAACAATATTGCCAACTTGCTTTGATTTGCTCTCAATCTTTGCAGATGCAAAATAGCTACAAAGAAATAATACAGCGARTACAAGAACARGTTTAAATGTCATGGCCTTTTGAATTGGCTTTGAACCAGAAAACATTCAGACTAATTTTCTCAACACAGAGGCAAACACATGTTGTATACACGATGCGTACCCATGCTGTTTATGATTAACAGATAGTCGGSACTGTAAATGAAAGCTCAACTTTGTGTCAAAGAACCGGATGTRAACGTAATAGGTTTGAATGCGGTACTATTTACTTAGCGGTATGGCATCACGRTTTGCTAGTCACGGTATTCTATACAGTTATAAGATAGTTGGAATAAATTAATTGTTTACCAATAAATATCCTGCTTCCCTTCTCCATTTAGTATTCTATTTGACTTATAATTATACGAGAGAATAGTAGAAGTATTTCACGGTTTTCGTATGTCAAAACCTTTTTTAAATTGAATTTTTGACAGCCCACCACTGACTCGGTGAACAGATTCATGTACAAATTCTACACAAGCCAGCGAGTCTGGATAGGCGCAGTGAGAGCTGTTAATATTAAATAATGTTTCCCATGACATACAGATCTGTAGGAGAGTAGTTTATACTTATGCAATCAGTATTTTTCTATAAATATTGACTCTTCACGATAAAAGCGATTAAACTAGTCTGCGTTGGTCTTGAGCACTATCAGATATTAAGGCTGTGCTCAGGGCGTAGACTGATTATAAACTGATTAAGGAAAACAAACATGCCTGGTACTAATCAACGCACTTTGGACGCCTATAACTTTGTCTTTATTACTGCATAAAATTATAATCGACTTCAATAAAACTTCATTACTCCCCTTTTTCGACATTTTTATTCAAAGTGTTATACATTATCATTGAACTTTTTTTTTCTTGTAATAGTATAAGTAGACATGCAACTTGAGGTTGATTGAAAAATTTATTCCTCTTTTTTTTTCGACAATTCTGAATCTCGACGCTTTAAGAGCGTTTGCTCGTGCATATAGTATATTCAGCTACTACTGTAGTCATCCCTACCGTGTTCTTCTTATATAAAAGTTATTGCGTTTGGAAACTCATTAGCACTAGCATAAAAAGCTCTCTTATACCATAAGTATTTTCCAGATCAATCACCTGACAAAATCATCCTAAAGTTATACTGAGTTAAAATCATCCTAAAGTTACTGAGTATGTATCACAAATAATTACAAATTGTATTACGTATTGTCTTATTGATCTGACATGACATTGAAGTGTTCCGTGCTGTTTGGTATTTCCATGAATGCTTGTGCAATCCACAGAGTTTGACCTCTTGAGTTTCCCAATTCCCTACACATAATTCAAAAGCCAGACTACGTTAAATCAAATATATAGTAGAGTGGGGGAGGGGGGAAGGAGGGCGTGAAGAAAATCTTACCAGTTTCTCCAGTAACGTTAACGTTATCATCAACAAGATGCGCTCTCATACCACCAAATTTTCGTTTATTACAAAGTGCATCCCTCAGTAGTTCCAGTTCTGTTCTTGTCACTACATCGAATAGTAGAGACATTCGCGCGATAACACAACCTTTGCTATGAAAAYATAATCCATTTATCAGTAACTGGTTCTTATTCATTTTTCTTGGAGAGGTTGAAAAAAGTAGTTGCTYATCTGCAAACAGGGTACAGGAAAAAAGAGCTCAGAATATAATATCATAGACGCTTGCTTCTTCAGTATTAATGTCTACCTGAGTTCATTGACTTTTGTGTCTTCAAGATGACTTGATTTTTCGTCATAAATTGCCTGTGCCTGGAATAGMAGTGTAAAATGTCAGCAGCAAGTTCAGATATCATTGATCAGACTCTGGTTAGACTCCTACACAGCTGTCCCTTCTGGCTGCGAAGGAGACTCTATCTAAATAAATAGCGGTTTGATATCAGCTGGCGCGCGCACATTAATTATCTATGTGATTGATGTCCTTCATTGCCGCTACCCAAAGATCATAGATGTTTATGGATTAATAAAGAAATGAAGTCTTACATTTTGTAAAATCTTGACACGGAACGCTTCAAACTGCACGCTTTCTTTGTTGTTATAAAACTCTGTAAAGTTCTCGTCAGGAAATTTAACCGCTAAAGTAATGGTGTTTTGAGGAGCTGCAAGAAAGATAATGCAATATCAATACTAATGAGACATTAAATAAATAAATGGATGGAAAAATGAAAAATAGAAAGTATGAATAATAAAAAACAACTCTTTGACTAATGAGACATTAAATAGATAAATGGATGGAAAAATGAAAAATAGAAAGTATGAATAATAAAAAAACAGAAAAAAATGCTAGGGTAGTCATTTAGTAAATAAATACACTTCACTTACCGGTAAAAAACCGAAAGATTTTTCTAACTTCATGGTCCTCGAGCCCCTTATACCAGAGCACTACATCGTCAAGGCTCACCTGTGGCAGGACATTATCAAACCCAGTCCTTAGCAAAGTGTTACTCGGAGAAACAGAAATCACCGATTCRCATTTATTTAACAAGCTCGWTGCATTCTTTCCATTGTGGTATAAAGTAAATCCCTTGTYTCTTGTCCATGTTAAAGTGATTGTYGACCAGATTAAGGGAAATGCTTCAATAGCTATAACGCAKSTTGATTGTTCAATAGTTGCTTTGGTTATCAAATGGTTTGRGTTTTGGATTATGCTGAAGTCCTGAAGAAACTGAATGGAAGATAAATTAAATATGCATGGTAAATGAATATCTTGATAGCACAATGTGACTATTTCTATATTGAATTCAAAACTATTTCAAACTTGGCCCTGACGGTTGCTCTTTTCTAAGCAATAAGTTATCATATCTATACAATAACATACAATATACATGCAATGTGAAATAGCAACGAAAGCTTTCCAATACCTGAAAACCTCGCGCCTTGTCCTTATCAAAACCGACTGAAAGAAACACTCGCTTCTGTTTTTTCTCGTTTTTGAAGAATTTCAACCAAAACCTGAGCGTGAATCCAGTGCTGCATGATGGGAAGTCAAACAGGCATGAACYACGCATGTCTGCTAKTGTRATTCGTCCTGTGAGTCCGTCCGTTACCAGAGCATTGTTGACGGCTCCACGAACCGCCTTAACAGTCCCATTTGTAAAGCCATGGTAATTGCTTTGTAGGTTAGTAACTATACCGGYGTCATCAAGTGGCCAATGATGGGCTGTTTCTTTGAGGACAGACTGGTTAACAACTACAGGTATGAAATAAATTCATCAGTTTTGACCTWTCAAAGRCTCGCTAGAAATGACATGACAGACTMMTCAATCTCTCATGGGCTTCCTGTCCTCAATATGACCTAGGGGGACTGTGACCCGGAAGAAAAAAATTCTTGGTCAGGCTCAAGGCTCGCGCCTGGCCAAGAGGATACAAGAGGACCAAAAGACTCATTTGTGGATATTGAACTAATRAACCTGTGCAAACGTACAATTTCAGCTTGCAGGAATAGTTGTCAACACAACCTACCGTATTTACATGCTTCATCTACATGCTTCATGCCTTTACAGTCACAAACACTTTTGTTCTCCAAGCAAACATATCCTGCTTGACATCTTGGAATGCAATCTGAATAACAAAGTATACAAGTGTATCAGCATTTGGTCTTACTAACCTCCTGTGAAACTTCCGCCAAGATCGCCTTGAGAAGCTACAACTTAGGTTACAAGGTATTGCAGCATTTAACATGGCCATTTAGCTAAAGCTTTTACGASTCGCCGACCAAGATATGTTTAATGCAAAGGCGGTTTCTCAACAGTAATGTGTCTTATATATCCTCGGGAACCCAGGTGTAATCTTCTGTCGTTCGTCCCTGGAACGAGGATGGGTTCCCCTGGGTTCCCGAGGATGTTCTTAAAAAGAGAGKGCGAAAATTAGTCATAATTGCCATAAGCCAGTCATAACTCAAGATAGCATATTACCAACAATTCAATGAAGATTGAGTACCAGTTTTCAACAAACAAACAAAACAAAAACATAAAACAACAGAAAAACAAAACAACAGCAACAAACAACAACAACAAACAACAACAACAACAGTCATAGGACCTGCCTCGTGGTACAACGATCTACATATCTAATCTTGTGACAAAATATTGAGCACTCCTCAATTTGTCTACTTACTTGATGCAACCACAGGGCATTCTGATATTGTGACAGACAGATCATCTATTGCTATATCACTCGTGTATTTCTCACCAACAACTCCAGTAATAGAAATCTATATCRCCGTATAACACCAAGATTAGGGACGGACCATTTGAATTTTGATGTTCAAAAATCAAGTGGTCCGTCCCTTAAAAAACTAGTTAGTATCTAGTAAATTAGGCGTCCATATCACATACCCTGAATGTATTCGAYGCATTTATTTGTACCACAGCGTACTTCCAGCTTTTGCCTTTATTTCCATGTTGTTGCCATAKGATCTGTTCTTGGGAATTTATAGTGGGGTTGAAACTGTACGGTTCATAATCGTACTGAATCAGATGGACCATTAATTCGCCCATACCRGCACCGTACATATTGTACCAGAACGTTAAGCATTTATGAATCGGAAAGAAGGGTTGACTTATCAGTGTAGTCGTTTGGCCTTTTACTCTTGGATACGAAGACTCCATGTAATAATACGAAGCTGCAACAAACATGACACCGTTATTTTTCATTGAATAGGAATGTTATGGCGTTTGAATGAAGAGGTGGTTATGAAGTTACAAGGTCGCTGATTCCTGTATGTATGTGCTAGATAACCTATGTTCCATTGTGAGGARGAAAATAGTGTTGGAATCCGCGAATCCACCAAGAAAAGTCTACAAGAAAAATCACCGAAATCTACAAGCTCAATATCAAATCCATRTTTTTTACGTTATGAGAGATCCGCAAATTCGATCTCAAAACCCTCATATCCCCCATCATTGCCATTTAACAAAAGCGCCCTAAAAGACAAAASGTAGAATTTTACTTTAGAAGTATTGTRTAATRAAGTGTTTGAAGTGTCAAGTTAGAATACGCMRGRTGCTAGGATCAAGGCATTACCTTGTGGCAGCCCATAATATGTATGGTCATGAGAAGGYCCTGTGTTGTCACTCTTGGTGMTGTTTGAATTTAAAGCCCAGTTAAAAGTACCAGAATCTTGGTCCCAGTGCGTCACGTCCCCTTCCAATGTAAAAGCAGCTGAAATACAGAAAAATAATAAGTGTTCCATATTATAATGATAGTGGTAGTGATAATGATGTTGATGATCATAATGATTGACTAACCGTTACGATAATCTCTCATGATAGCAGATTGTGTCAATTCTGTATTCCAAAACTTCAATTTAGATATAAAAATATACAACAAGCTACGACGGTGAACATCGCAGTGATGAAACAGCACGTTTGACCGGTGTGRAGCGGTGACGTTAATGAACGACTTGGAATGCTTSGAGAGCAAACCGTTTTCGTAACTTTTAATGCCTTYATYCTCGCTCCAGGTAAATGTGTAATAAGTCCAGATGTGACTCGGAGTTAGGGACAATGTCCATGCCTTTGAACTGGTTACAGCGTGAACTCGCAGTTCATTAGAAGCGTGAATCAAAGATACTCCCTGGTACAATATATTCAATTCAGGTGAATACGTGCTAAACACACCTTCTTGGTATCCTTGRAGAGCAAAGTAACGCTCCGTTAGAGTCAATTCAGAAAATGAAAATGATATATAGAGAGGAGGATGAGCTTACCTTCGCGGAGCCTTGTTTTCATTTCCATGTATGTGATGGGGCGGCCAAATCCAGTGTAAAATAAATTATGGGTATCTCCTATTTGATTTGGACTGTAAGGACCGAATAGATTTACATTACTATTGAAGCAATYACGTGGTGTTTTGTGATTCGTGTATGTCCAGTGCCATCCAGGACCATATTGTTCAGAACAACTCTTGTTTTCTACCSCATCATTATCTTGGTCAACAGTAGAAAACGGGTAGGTATGAAACCTTCCCATTTCACCATTTAGAGATCCTTTATGAGAAATGAAGAAAATGTTTGTTGGTAAAAAATACAACAAATCAGCACAAAATTGATTCTCTTTGTGGAACTCTATATTAGCGAAGCTAAATGAAGATAAGCAATCCAAACGCTGTATTTCACATGAGCCAAATTCTATGCAAATTGCTCAAACTTTTGTTGCTGCTCATTATCTTCTCATTTGCTTGATTGACACATGTCAGATTTGACTTGGTCCTATCTCATACACTGACTTCTGTTGCATTCAATGCACATTCCTCCTTTCGTTTCTCCTCTTTATCATCTCGTTTGCATCGAATTCGGCTCATTTCAGAATCGGTATTTGAAAGGATTTTTTTTTCATCTTCCTATTTTAAAATAGGTTCCTGAGGATTTCAATATCGAGAGTGATGAACCATTGACTCATTTGAAAAGTTTTCCCATGCTACCACTAGATTGTCTTCATGGACTGACCCAGGATTTTCTGCGGGGGAGGGTGCAATTCTCCCGAGGAGGGGTAGCGTTACCAAAATAAAAATGCTCACCAATTAAGGAGAAAAAAAATGAGAATCGTATTAAAGAAGAGCATCCTTCGACATACCTTCGGCATCCCCCATTGCTCTAGATAAAGAAAACGCAAGGCTTATGAAATAATGTTCTGCTTCTTACCTGCTTCATATCGCTGCAAGTACAGTTTATATTTTACACCGTCATACAAGTGAACTTGTTGAAACTTGACATATTTGCCTGTTCCATCTGAATTATTCAATCTCAGCATGATTTCTCGTCTTTCTCGTATTCTATAAAAGTTCTGTAAACCAATCCAAAGTTCACCTCCAAGGTGTCCAAAGCCATTCTCATAATCATTCCAGAGTTTCTGGTGAAAATTGATTGAGCCATCTTGACGTCTAAGGAGAACTTCCCATCCTCCTCCATCTTTCTCTTGGTCACAGTGAACCTTGACTAGATCATGTACATTGAAGGCCTGAGGAAGGTAAAGATGATACACACCACTGTTGGCTTCTCCGAGCTCCAAAAGTTCTTGGCAGCTTTGTGCAATTTCTACAATGTGTAAAGCAATGAGATTTTTAAATCGCAATAGCGCATATAGCATTAAACAATTTCCTAAGCAGCTTATTATCCAAGGCCATGAAAACCTACTGATTGCACAGTTCAACATGTAAGAACTTGTTGTTTGTGCCTCAAACGTTGTGTGAAAATGCTTCTATGCCGACACCCCGTGCAATGACATTATGAGTCTGAACTCAAAAAGGAGCTTACGCTTTTGGCAAACTAGACCGGCAGTCAACGAACATGCTTTTGTTTCCCATTGTCCATCAGAGTTGATGACCACGCAGTCTCCTGCACCAGGCTGACCTTCCTTCCAGTTCGGAGTGGTCAACTTGGAGCCATCAGACCACAAAAATGTCCCTTCTTTGGCTTTATCACTGAGTCCTGTTGAAAGTATCATTTGAAGAGGACAATTTACCGAAGACAGTTTTGCAAGTCAGTGAAATGCAATGCACTCAGTAATCAAAGAATCAACGAACCCAATCAACCAATCGACCAACCGACAGACCGAAAGACCGACCGACCAGCCGACCGACCGACCGACCAGCCGACCAACCAACAAATCAACCAACCAACCCATCTACATCTACCATGCTTTACGAAGATTTATTTGGTATACATTTCTTGTTGATGGCCACCTATGCATTGGATGCTTACCAATCCACAAAGGAGTTCTTGGCGTTGGCATTACATATTTTTGAATGAATTTTGATTTAGAATCACCGGGTATTTTAATGAGGTTTCGTCCACTGTTTTGACACGTTGTTCTCGCATCGTCTCTTGTTGCTAAAGTTGAGCCGTTGATAAAACGATAACAGGACGATTTGTAGCACATCAAATCTAGAAAAACGTGATAGTTGAATGAATATGGATCGATCTGGGCCGGTTTCACGAAGAGTGAATAGCGATATCCTTATCCAGCAGATGCAATCCATAAAATATATATTGAATGAATACGTTTAACTGGTAGATAACTACACCCCACTTCGTACAAAAGGTCCCCTGATTGTTGCCATATGTATCTCACTACACCTACAATCATGGACAATATACATTTGGACACGACTGTTACTCTACTACGCACATTCTTAGTTTTCTACTGACGACACGACCTTACAGTCCCTCCCCCCTCCCCCACGGTCAATGATGTCCTTGTACACTGTGTTATGGTACTGAGGCATGAAAAACCAAATGAAAATAGCAACCCAACATTTTACAGGGGGCAGGATATTGTACCTAGTGGTTATCGTGCTGTCAAATTGTAACGGTAACATGTTGCMATGTCCCGCATAAAATGCCTAGAATTATATAGACTGTCAATTAATAATCTATCGAGTGCCGATAAGTCTTATGAGAACGAAATAGCGACCTCAAGTCAAGTTTTTACCATATTGGTCGAAGACTCGGCATATTATATCTATCAACGTCGAATAATTCACATAATGCAATATTTCAATTCGATTATTTTGAGATTTAAGATCGATAAATTTCAGACAGTAAATATTAATCAAAATAGCAGTATAACGGATTTATTGTTAGTTACCTCTTTGGCACAAATATCCCGGATGGGCGTATGTGCAAGTAGACGCTCGAAGTGTTGAGTCAGAGGCAAGTCGTACACAGTCTCTACCTTGGTCCGTTTTAAAGCCCCAGTTTGAATACGTAGTGATACCTCCATCAAATCCCTGGAACTTACCCTCGACTGAGAGATCGTTTAGACCTAAATCAAATCAAGAAAAAATCAGAACAAGGTGGGATCCAGTGGGCCGGGGAAGGGGATGATAAGGATATCTAGCTTGCCCCCTTTTAAGGGTTCAAAAACATTTTAATGCTTTTTTAATCAAAATTTGTAACGGTTCTGGGTCGTCAAATATTATTCATAACATTCTTATTCATTACATACACTTATATTAGACAAAGAGATGGGCTGTACAGTCACAAAAGTCGTATATTCTTAAGAGCTCTCAACAAACACAAATGGCAAGCTTACCAATTGTTACTCCAGTGGTAACCATGCCAGCAACGTCACTTGCTTCTTGTGCATTTCTTATAGTCCCCAGTTCGCCTCCCATTGACCAGCATGCCTTTCTGGCATCAAAGGCAGTTTTTATTTTGTCATTAATTACGTAGAAGCATCCCCAGTTGTAACATTTGATAGTGGTGCCTAGTGGAACAAAACACAAGACTTACATTTCAAGCAAAGAAGGCTTGTTTGAGTAAAATATTGACATGATTTCCATGAGTAGATTATGTGTTACAGCGTTTCCACAGAATTGGTTATTCTGAGATAAATTCCCAGCCTATAAGTAAAAAGCTAAAGAAAATCAACTTCACCTTGTTTTGGTCTTATTTTCATCTCCACGTTCTTTAAGTTCTTGCTCAATCCCAGTAACGTCTCCCACTTAAGCCCTCTAATGTTAATCCCGGCCTCGGTGGGAATATAAACCCCATTTAGGTTCGAATCTTTGCACGGATTATTAAACCACCAGGCACTTTGAAAAYGATCCACACAATCCGTGCCACCGGACGGGTAATTTTTGTTATCTTTGGTGGAGAACTTTGCTCCATTGTGCAGTGTTGTCAGTGAATCTCCTGCTGTTCCAGAATAACCGCTAACAGTCATTTTGTACTTTGACGAACCGTCTCCTATTTGAAAAGAAGCATACTTTGCGTAGTAATAAAACCCGCTAAATGTCTCCATCTCGATTAGAAGTTCAACTGGGCTTGAAGTAAGACGATGAATGTTGTCATTCCCAAGCCAAAATTCTCCCTCTAAAGAACCAAATCCGATCTTATATTCAGTCCACGTCTTGTAAAAGTCTAAAGTTCCATTAATTCGTCTTTGAAGTACAGTCCAGCCTCCCCCGTGATTCATCTGATCACAGAAGACAGTCATGGCTGAGCCTGTTTTGCCTGGTCTGATACGGTAGACGCCATTCTTTCTATTTCCTTCCATCAGGACATCCAGACAGTTCGTGAAGTTGTAAACTATAAAAACAGTTATATTGTTATTAACCAGTGGAAAAAAGCGCGCTCCTTGAAGGTTGTAAACTTTAATGGAAATATAATGTGGTAATTCAATTTCCATAATATTTACAAAGGTTGCCTAAATATCCCGTAGGTGTAAATATCATTTACATGATATTTACATCGTTTTTACATCAAATTTTACAGAGTGATTTTTTCCAGTGAACAAGATAGGAAAACACTGCAAAAACAACAGWTGCGATCTCGAAATATGAGCGGGAAGGGATAATAATGTCGAAAACTGTTGAGACTATATCGGAACCGTMTCGTAACGGTATTGTAATCTTATCGAAACCGTATCGTAAAGTATTGTCGAATCTGTATCGCTGCCACTATCCATTTCACTGAACACATACAAAATTGACGCCATACCTTTAGCCAGAACCCTTCCAAGGACTTTGCCAGGAACTGTCCTCTTCATACTAGTGTTGCACTTTTCACCAGTTGAATCAAACATCTGTAACATTGTAATTTCTTATATAATAGCAGGCATAAAGCAGCAAATAAGATAAACAACAAGAATTTGTTTAAAACAAATTTAATGCGCTATTACTATGCCAGTTCAAACTCAAAACAAAAAATCTCACCCTAATAGGGTACACTCCCGGTAGTTTAGGTACTTTAAGCAYCCTCTCGACGTTGTTGTAGTCGCAGTTGTAATTCACTTCCTCGATTAGACACAGAACAGTCCCAAATACATCGAGATAAAGCTGTCTTTTACATCTTGGACACGGTAGACTCTGACGACAATACCTGTAATATGCTGCAATCAACAAAGAAAATAATCATAAATAATCATTTTTGTCATTTCGATTTAGCGCATGTATTTTCAGGACATAGCCCCTTTAGAAAAATCCTTTTTCTACCTGAATCGGCTTTATCCCACGGATAGAAAGATTCACAGTATTTCATATGAATATTAGCACAAGAAAAAAGAAAATGCTTAATTAGTCAGTCAATTCATATCAAATCTGTAAATTTAGACCGCTGAAGGATTGTATTTGATAATGAGCTACTTACTCATCCACCATCTCACTCACTCACTCACTCACTCACTCTATCCTCTGCTCACTCACTTTCCTGTAAAACAGTATAGTGATAAGAAATTTTTTTTATTTGTTTTTTTTTTTTTTCTCGTAATGTAATTATGTTCGTTCAAATCAAGTTTGAAGTCCATGGCGATGGTCATGACATCTTCATCTTACCATAAATAAGGATATTTGAAGAATTWGCAGCGTGAATTTCAGGTGGGCCTTCCAACTGAAAGCTTGGGTTATCTAATCAATGAAAAGTAAAGGAAGTCTTGTTAATCTGTTTATCATTTAGCTGTGAAGAGTACAGATCCTTTACACCTGCGTAGCTAGGAAAAAAGACAACAAAACTGGAATCACCTTTAAAACATCCAAAGAGCTGAAGTCTCAGACATGCCGTACTAGAATCACTTCCTTCTAAAGGGTAAACACGGATGTAACGTGCCTCAATGTAAGGCTCAATCAGATTCATTTTAACAGATGTACCATCACTATTCCCCTCATAGACCAAAACTTGCCCATCYCTTGTATGGTTATACCATGTCAAATGATCTCYTGAGTATGAAATATAAAATGCCTTKGTCCAATTGCCACCTTCATATCCTTGTGTTGCAATACCGCTGAACAATACATTTTCGCCAAAGTCCACGTGTAAGTAACCTTTTTTYTCAAGTGCAGTACACCACGCACTCGATGGAGTGTCAAGAATAGACATCAAGGCTTTAAACTGGCCGATGGAACTATCCGCCTTTATATTCTTTTTGAATTCGAGGAGTGGAYCAAAACATTCTGAGAAAGATATATATGCAGAATTAATTCATTCTGAACTCAGTGTTTTCACCATATATACCCTATTTCAAAAGGTTTGACGGATAAAATGGCGAATGGTTATTGTCGAGTGGCGATTGCAAGACCGAAAGTAGTCATGGGTTTTGCTAATTGAAAGCGGGAAATAACAAGTGATTTCAAGATAGTCTGTGGTAAACAAATGGCTCCATTTAGTCTCCATTTCTATTCAAGGTGGATACCAATGGGAGATTTTGTTTTTTTTTTAATTCAGCGTAAACATAGTATCTTTCGGTCGTGCAATCTCTCTTCGACAATTGCCGTTCGCCGTTCTCCTCGTGACAATTTTCTTTGAAATAGGTGTAATGTTCGGTAGCACAACGTCATTTATTTTCTACCATGTTATTGACTAACACACGCGCGCAGCTAATCAATCTCAAATCATTGTGTTTTGGTGAAATGTGTTGTCGACTCTGTTAAAAATACGCAGTCTAGGACTGCATGTGGCTAGTGCTAGCTAGTAAAATAGCAAATATCAGTTCTATTCACTTAAAAGAAATCTATGTAAACCAAAAATATTAAGAACTTAAAAATTGTAAAGTTTAAGTTTTAAAAATCAAAACTTTGAACATAAAGGAGTAAATTAGGTAAGTTATTTAAAATTTCTGTCGAAAATTAGGTTCGTTTTTAAAGGCGAAAGAATTGTGTAAAAAAATTTAAATAGAATAATGGGATGCCTGTGGCAAAGAATGAAGTCAAAAGAGCATGCGCAGAACGTTTCGATTGTAAGTAGCCATTGTTTGTTTGTAGCTCAAATTTTCTGATTTATTTCTCAAGATACATCAAAATAGAATGTAAAGGCTACAAAAAATATATAATATAAGTAAGGCCGGCACTAGTAGGTGTCCAGTGTAATTTTTGGAATTAGTTTAGGCTGGTCTGGTGAGATATTCGACTCGTCTCGATATATGATACTTCATGGCCAAATCCTGGTTAAATCAAGACTGCTTGGCTAATTATGAGACTGCAACACCTAACATGAAAACCTGCATGGATGCTGAAACGAAGAAATAACATGCACCTGAAATCAACAAAACCAGCAAGAGAACGAC